AGAGCATTAAAATGATATATGTTACAATGAAATACACAAATTGCAGTTTACCGCTTACATTTGGTTTCTCATTGCAAGTGATATATGCTCAGCTATATGGGTAGAAGAATTAAAAACACACAAGTATTAAATAGCCTCTGTGACTTAAAAAGCACTAATTTCAGGGCAGAAATCAACAACAAAAATCTGATTCAATATAATGATGAATATGACCTTGGTTATCAGCAACAGCTACAGGTTCACACACAATTCTGGTGTTTCATATGCAATTGTGACATGTAGCAGGATTCTTTGGAATGAGAGTCTAAAAATGAAACGGGATACTTTATAAAGAATTGTGTCACTGTCAGAGCAGTGTAGAAGCTTCTCATCCAGCTGATAACAGATGTACAGGTGTTTTCTGTGGAGGTAAATGTGGCAATAAGTCGATGTGTCTACAGCTCGGCTTGCTTACCATGAAGAAGTAGCAGCAGTTCAGCAACTTACACACAGAGGCAGAGCACTGTGACTCCAGGCAGGAACACTGCCTGCCGATAGTGTCCCCTAGACTTCTATCATCCATGAACCTGCAGGTAATTAGGGATCCTACCTTTCTCAGTATTGATTCAGTTTTAGCTTTATCCACAAATCTAGGAAATTTTATTAGAGTTTTATCATTTCTTTTTTAGTATTCTAGTAGGTAGAGGAAATGTCATTTATATCTTTTGAAACTTCATTTTTTCCATTGCAAATATAATGGTCTAATTTTCAGTAACATTAGTATTATTGTATCTAAATGGTTTCTTTGTAATCCATTTTCTCAAAAATGTTTTGTATTTTAATAATTTAATTTATATTTATTTTTAATATAATCTTTATATTTATATGAATTTCGTTTTTTAATATCAAAGTCCTTTGTATTCCTTCTATACAGACATCTTGGTTAGATGCTGCACTGTGACCTCAGAGATGCCTTAGGATTCTGTTGTCATGGAAACCTTCATGTCTCAGTAAGGCCTAGCTTAGACACATCTGATACTTTATCCATTCCAGGTTACAAGTTATTTAAACTTATATAGATTTTCATTAGAAAGTAACAGTTCTGTTGCTTATAAGTCCCAGGACATTACAGTTTTGAGGTATTTTTTTCATTTTTTTCTAAAATTATTTCCTTTTTATCTACTGTAGTTATAATGATCTTTTGTCAGCTGTTCTTTGAGTACTTTTCATTCTAACCATTTGCTCTTTCAAACCCTTGTTCATTATTTGGTTAATCACAGTGTAATTTACATAAAGTTATAAAAGCAAGTTATCTTCAGTTGTGTTAATGATTAATATCTTAGTTATGCCCATCCTAGAACTAGATTATGAATAACTTGGTTTTCTTTTTCATTCCGAAGTGAGAACTTCCTCAAAACTTATGTTTGTGCTGCTCACCTTGTTGTGAATAGCGTACCAGCGATATCTGAGACTACCATGGTAAGTCCTTTTCCATATTGTTTCTCTTTTGGGATCTGTAGTGTATTTACTTTGTCCTTTGAATACTTATTTTGCACATGTATTCTGGTATGAAAAGAATATAATGAGTTGCATCTAATTGCAATGAATTTGTTTTAATATAAGTTTTTTAAAATAAAAATCTCATTTAGATGGCAGTACTTTGACAGTATTACTTCATCATGATAATCAGTTTAGCTTTTATGCTCTGATATCTATTCTCCTTTCTATTTTGATTTTTACAAATTGCTATTCTTGGATAATTCTTTCCTATATTGAAGCCTAGTCCTTTGTTTCTACTGTAAGTATATTGAGTGGCCAGAAGCTATTGACACTGTAAATTCAAGATCCTGTCATACGGGTATATTGGACATACACTCAGTATTTAATACCCATCTTAAATATGCCTGATCATCATTCCAGGTTTATATTTTGTTTATTATTCTGTTTCTACAGAGAAAACAAACCTGGAAATTTCCACTGTTTCTGTTCCAGGTGCCTGTTTTGTGTTCCTTATATGAATTCCTTAAGTGACTATTACCTGAAAGTGAAATCTGACATAAACCCTTCTGTAATCCAACCAACTTTTGGTCATGTTGTTTACAATAGCAACAGAAAGCCACACTAGAATAAAATTCAAGTGTAATTTCTTTTCTTGAGAGACTATTACAAATAAAGCTTCTATAAACACAGTTGAACAAGTGTCCATCTCTTATGATTGAGCATACTTTTAGTATATGCCCAAGAGTCATATAGCTGTGTCTTGAGATAGACTGATTTCCAATTTTCTGAGAATCTGCCATATTAATTTCCAAGTTGCTGAAACATTTGCATTCTCACTGGAACTACAGGAATGTTCTCCTTGATCCACATGCTCTCCAGCATAAGATGGCATTTATGTTTTTCACCTTAGTCATTCTGGCTGGTGTAAGATGGAGTCTCAGAGTCATTTTGATTTGCAATTCCCTGATGGCTAAATATGTTGAACATTTCTTTAAGTTTATCTCTGCCGTTTGAGATTCTTCTGTTGAAAATTCTGTTTGTCTCTATCCCATTTTTAATTGGATTATTTGGTTTCTTGATGTCTAGTTTCTTTATATATCAGAGATCTGCCTTCTGTGGTGTTGGTTGAGATATTTTCCCATTCTATAGGCAGTTGTTTTATCCTATTGAGAATGTCCTTTGACTTACAGAAGCTTTTAAGTTTCAGGAAGTCTTGTTTATCAGTTCATGGTCTCCCTGTATATGTTACTGGTTTTGTATTCAGGAAGTTGTCTCCTGTTCCTACGCATTCAAGGCTCCTTCCCCCTTTCCCTTCTATTAGGTTTAGCATAACCTAATTTTATGTTGAAGGCTTCTTAATCCATTTGGACTTGAGTTTTATGCAGGATGATAGATATGGAACTATTTGTGTTAGTCTACATTTTGGCATCCAGTTATGCCAGCAACATTGGTTGAAGATGCTCTTTGACACATAAATCTACTTTTTCTATCATATCTTCAATGCCTGAGATTCTTTCTACCATCTCTTGTATTCTGATGGTAATGCTTATATCTGTTATTCCTATTCACTTACCCATCCACTCCTCTGAGGGGAAAGGCCTTCCTTGGGGATGTCAAAGTCTTTTATACAAAGTTGAGTCAGGACCAAGCCCCTGCTAGAGAGTTTTTCATTTCCTCTTAAATGGCCTGTTTCTGTGTTTATTCTTGACTTCTGCACAAGTTCCAGGTTCATCTATGCACTATCATATCTGATTCTTCTTTTTCCATTCAGTATGTAACCATTTTTTAAGGTAGTCAAATAGTATTCTCTTATGATACCATAACATGCATAATTACTAATTACTCTAATATCATTACTGTTTCTATGATTGTTCCTATTCTAGTGATATGAATGTGATTAATTTAGATATTTATTCTGTATATAAGAACAAGATGAATTTACATTTATTTACTTCTATTCAATTTTCATCTAATCTTTGTGCAGATTGTATCTTATATAGAAAGGTCTACAATCTCCACTATGAGAATATTCCAAATTTGGTTGGGTGTTGGTGTTAAGTCTACAAAAATTGATCTGAATTTTCTTGTGCTACAGAATTGAAAGAATATTGGGGAAATATTTGGGAAAGCTTGAACAACTATCTGGCATAAATTTTCAAGTTAATAAAAGGGATACCAGAGTATTAATGATTGATTGTGAATGGAAAATGAAAATACAATAAGTGTTTGAAAATACTGGTGGACAAGGAGACAATATACATAATTTACTACAAAGATGAGTAAAGCAGTTGATGTACACATAAGACTGCAAAAATACTTCATTTTCCATTATAAAAAAGATGACAAATAGTAAATATTGCCATGGAAAACACACAGTTCTCCAGTAAGGAACAATAAAACACCATAAAAGGCTATTGCATGTATCATATTCAGTTTTGAACTCGTGAAAACAGATAATTAGAGAAAACTTGAAATTGTTAGATAATTTAGTTTACCATTTTTAGGAAAGACATTTGAACACATGTATACAAGAATCTGATTATCAACAGGATAATGATAGTAAAAATTAAGACAGTATGCAGGCCACTGTCTTTTTATATAGAAGTATTTACCTTACTAAATAAATATCAAACACACACAACATACATTCAGCTCTTAATAGGGATATTATGTGTCAGACTACAAAGTTTTAAAGTATTGTGCACACCGTCTAGGAGATATGGTGTATGCATATACTTTTTTAGTCCAAAGCACATAATTGAAGGACAAAGTGCAATTGTGTCCTTCCAAGTACATGTGTTAAACAAAAATAAAGTTTTAATATTGTGGTGAGCTTGACACCAAACAGGCCTTTCATTATACAATTTAAATAACTTCTGCCATGTAATTCAATACTGTATAATAGTGTAAAATTTTATTCTATGAGCATCCTTGGCTTCTTAAAACCATACTTTCCTTCTTTTAGCATACTTCTTGCATTTTTATTTTAATATCTAAAATTTTCCTGTATTCTGAAGTTTGGTTGATAGATTTCTTCTTATTTATTCTATGAACACACGTAAACAAAGATATTACAGTTACTGTCTATATCAGCTTGGTATTTGTTTGATGTAAGCACTGCAATGAAAACATAAAATCTTCCTAAAATTCAATTAATGAATAAATAATTTTATTTTTCAGAATGTTAATGCATATTGAGATAAATCAGCAGTTCTCTGAAGCTTTCATGCTTAATTATTTTGGAGCCGCTTGAACTAGTTCTATTTTCTCACATTTATCATCAAACACATATTGACAAATAGACCAGCAGAAAAGATAAAGTTTAACATATTAAGCATCTTTAAGGACAGCTATTTCCAGAGGTTTGTCACACTTACCTGTTCTAGCAAAAACTCTACTTGCCAATGTCAAACCGGCAAGCATTGCAGGTAACATCCCTTTTAGGGTATCCAGATTAAGGGATAGTGACTTGAACCTATGGTAAATGCTGTAGCTGATTTTGCCTGTGACTATATTTGAAGATGAGTACATTTGAAGAGGGTCCTGAGCCAGTAACAGTCGAAATTGTGAGCTCTGTCTTACTTACTGAGGACACAGACAGTGACCTCATCCTTTGCCTTCAGAATGAAGCTCATGAAATTGAAAACTCTACTGAACATCCAAATAAAAGGCCTTGCTTGTTGTCTTCAGAGGTTGATGAGACTCGCTTCATGCCAGCTCCTGCATTCTCACTACCAGAAATGGATCAGAGCTTTCAGTTTGTCACAACCATACCCCCAGAGGTGGAAGATGAAGAGATTACTGAAGGAACTATGATGCAGTTCCAGGTTTTACAGGATTACAAACCAGATGAAGAATTTCCCTTGGCTAATGAGGAAAAGTCAGTTGTTAGCCAAGCATGGTTGACAGGTAAAGAAGATAAAGATAATCTAAGCAGATATTTTGATGAGCAACATTGAACGTTACATGCAGGAACATGGAGTAGAGAATGCTGCAGAAATTATTTTTAAGATGTCAAAAGGTAAACGCAAAGATTTCTACAGATCTATATCTTTGGGTCTGAATCGGCCTTTGTTTTCAGTTTATAGAAGAGTGGTACGAATGTACGATGACAGAAACCATGTGGGAAAGTATACCCCTGACGAAATTGATAAGCTCAAGGAGCTCTGGCAACAGCATGGCAATGACTGGATAAAAATAGGTGCCGCCATGGGAAGAAGTCCATCTTCTGTGAAAGACCGATGCCGACTGATGAAACATCCTTGCAATGCGGGAAAATGGAGTGAAGAAGAAGAACAGATTCTTGCAGATGCAGTTCATGAATTGACATCCACTGCTGTGGGCGAGAAAGTCACACAGGGTGTGTGTTGGGCATCTGTGGCTCAACGAGTAGGTACTCGCTCAGCAAAGCAGTGTCGTGGCAAATGGCTCAACTACCTGAACTGGAAACAGACTGGAGGGATTGAGTGGTCCAGGAAAGATGAAATCTCTCTCATCCACAGACTAGCAGAGCTTGATGTAGCTGATGAAAATGAAATTCTCTGGGATGACTTAGCTAAAGGATGGGAAAGTGTTCGGTCACCACAATGGCTGCGTAGCAAATGGTGGACCATGAAAAGGCAAATTACAAACCATAAGGACTTTCCATTTCCGGTGATAGTACAATGTCTTCAACAAGTATATGAGAGCCAAAATGCCAGCCTCATGTTTTGGGAGAATAAATCAGAATCTGAAGTGTCAGATAGCAGTTCAGATATCAGTGTTCAACAAGTCCCCTTCGTAGTCGCGGGTGAAGAAGATGATCGTACATCAATTTATGCAGTCCCAGTGACAGGATTGCAAATTACACTCGAAGTTATACCTGGCTCCTCAACAGAGTACCATGCAACTATTGTTAACGCTGAACCAATAACCTTGCCCAGTGAACCACAATAGATATTTGAGATTCTTCCTAATTTCCGTTTATGTTCCATGCCCTCACACTGCACCTACTCCCTTCAAACAATCTCAACTAAAGGCCTCTCCTTAACTCTGACCATTAGTCAGTACACCAGTAGGCCTGACAGCTCCTGCACCTACTTCTAACCTATCATACTTCATCTTTTTTCTCCAGAATATCCATTGAACAGTAATATCAATGACATTTGGACTGTCATACCCAAGAATCATCACAAAAACCATTGTTGAAAATAACTGCTTTTTTCCACTTCCAAAGCAGAATTGGCAGTCAATAATGACATCAATAGTTCTGATTTTTCATGGTCTTCCAAATTCATTCAAATCACACAAATTTCCTGACAGAATCCTTCAGTGGAGATGGCTCTGCAGCAATCATTTAATTATGTCCTTGTTTCTAAATTCAGAGACTAAAACAGCATAGAGCTAATGGACTGTGCTGTGATTACAGCAGAAGAATAATTCTGTGACACCATATAAGAACAAGAAATTCACTCTAATTTATCCATTGTTTGAGTTACTGAGGATTGAGCCACTCTCCATAGTAGAGCAAGTGCATTATACAAGTGATAACAAAACCATGGTTTGTGAACCTTCACTACCTGAATTTATCAAGGCATTGGGGTTTTACAGGCACTGAACCTATCTTGCCTTTAACAACACTAATAAATCCAATGCAATGATTGCATACCATTGGATCCATTTTGGGCAGCCCTGTTTCTGTAGGCTTAAAAGATATTGGACTTGCTGAAACATTACTACCTTATTGTTAGAAAGAAGCAAAATGTCAAATGAAAAGTAACAAGAGCAATACCCTGAGAGCTTACTTTCTAATTTGCTGACTCATGGAATTACAGTAATGTCAATGAAGTGTTATGATATCTGCAAAGGGACAGGAACAATGCCCTATAATAGATCTTTCTTACTAATCTCCTGAATCAAATAGCTACAGTGGGTTTCCTTGAAAATTAAGACTGTGACTTCTTTTTAATATTTTCAATACATCTGAGATTCAGTTTGTGAGTGGACAGTGGGAAATTTAATTGTACATATCTATATGTTAAATGATATCAGGAGGGATTTTTTACCCTCAGCTACTTAAAAGGCTTCAAATCCCCAAAGGTTAACTGCAGCAATATTCATGTCTATAGCTCAGACATGGTATTAACAAAATCTTCATGTTGATTGCTTACATTTCAATCAAGTCCTAACCATATAGTCAAATGCCTATTGTTTAGAAATACAGAGATTTTGAAAGTGACATTTTGTTAATTATTTTTGGTTAGCTCATTGTTGGCTAGTGGAACTGATTTAGGAAGTAGAAAGTTAGTTAAGAAAATTCACTACAGTTTTCCTTTTCTTAAAGGGAAGATGAATTTTAACCAAATCCACTAGTAGACAAGAAGTTTCCAACCTCTCATCTCATTACCAATTTTTGGTTTACACTTAGCCCACTGAAGTGATACTAAATGAGAAAAGAGGTAGAGTCCATGCCCTTGATAAACAAGACATTTCATTACATGTTATATCAAATACATAAAAATCATAGAAAGAGTTTTTATTGTACCCCCACCAGGCAATGTAGTACATGAATGGCAGTTTTAAAGACAAAGTTTATTTCTGTTACAAAAGAAAGATATCAATAGGCATTCCTATTAGTTATGCCTAAACTAGCTTCTAAATTTAACTGAAGGGATTTCTATAAAAATTCACAAAATATAGTTATGTAATTGATTGTGATGCTATACTTACAAGCATAATTAACCATTTCATATTAACAAAACACAGAGTAAGAATGCGGATTGATTAGGGAACAATTTTCATGTGTTTGGTTTAAGAATAAAACTGTCATACAATGCAAAAGTTTGAGATACTCTTTTGGTGTTTGCTGAAAATTTCTTTCTACACGAAGGGGTATTTAGAAGTATCATGAAGACGTTTTGTAGATTAATTCAAACATGGAGCTATTTCACAATGTTAAAAGTCTAAGCACTGTTTTGCCACTGAAATTCCTACAACTCTTTGAGGCAATCCTTTGTCATGAGAAAATGTTCAGTATTTGAGAGCACAGTGTCTGTAAGGAAAGTGAAGTACATGAAGCAGCCTCCTTCTCTAGACTTTCTATGTAATTTATCACCTGATAAACTACTCTTAAATACCATAGTGTAACTTAAAATAATTCATGACAGTAATATCAAAATTACTGTCCATTTCAGAGTACTAAATTACTTTAAGTTGTGTATATCCCTGAGAATCTTCTGTTTACCTTGGTATCTTGCCTAAGGCAAATGCCCATTCTTCTTTTCCACCCTTTTTAAACCAATATTACTTCTCATAACAGACAACAGAATCAATATATTTGTATATCTCTTGTTTCTCTACATATACATATATAATATGTAATATACATATGTGTGTGTTATAGAATGAATATATGTTAAAGTGACTGAAACATATTAAAGATTCTTCAGAATTGATCTAAACCAAGTCATTATAGAGAATCAATGAACAAGACCAGTGATGAAGGTGCAGGTAGTAGACACTGTTGATGCCAGGTTTAAGTTTGAGGCTGTAGAATCAAGAAAAAATGACGGATCAAGAAACAGGTCACATGCAGGTCTAAGCATGCAAACTGTATAGAGGTAGGCAGTTGAATAATCTGCATCAACACTGAGAAATTGATGTGATTATGGAGTCCCCAGTCCTTGACATATATACCAGGTATCAAATGCTATATTGATGTGCATCCATGACATTACAGTGTTACATTTCCATCACTTCAAGGGGGCTGGGTGCAAAAGTTATGCCCTTTCCTCAATCTGGTGTGTCCAGTATGTCCTCGGGCCAAGTTTCCTTCATATGATTACAAGAAGACTATGTACTCCATTGTTTTCAGTCTTTCCAACACTTATATGAGGTGTCTTTCTTTCTACTAATAGGGATAATTATTTAATGAGTCTGTGCTTAATGGATGGGGCCTGAGAGATGGTACAGTTTCTGCATGCATACATGCATTGCAGCCATAGTCTCCCTTCAATACAGAGAGGGCAATGCACAGACTGCAAATGCACTATTTTATACAATATGGTGTAACATAGATCAGGGCAGAACATGATCTCAGCAAAAAAATCTATTTCATGTATTAATA